TGGGGTTGGGGGGTGGGGGGGGGGGGGCGCTCATGTCTAAGGTGGTGGCCAGGTGTCGAGGTGACTGAGGTTGCAGTTTGGATAGGGGATGGTGCGAGGTGTTCATGAGAACAAAGAAGAGTTAATTTTGTATTCCTCTTTTTTTTTTTTTCCTATTTTTGGTATATATTCTTTTACTTTGTTCAAGTTTGAGCCAAATTCATCTTTTCATGCCAGTTTAACGAAATTTTTTGGATGGAAATTGTAAATATGGATCATAGACACCAATTTATAAAAGATTGGGTAAAGTAACGCCAAGAATCGAACGTAGTATAGAAATGCAAACAGGGTAAAGGTGGGCAATAGCCACAATTCAGCCTAAAAATTATCTCTAGTACTAATCATATAAGTGGTATTACTTGAACTTCTGCGAACATCTCTGCATTCCCTCTAGCTCGTATTTCTTGCATTCTACAGGAGGAAGAAGGACTCATAAGTCGAAAAGCACATAATGGCAAAATATGTCTCAAATAACAGAAACTAACTATGGACTTACGAGCATTTCATGGTCCAACATGATCTCTTCAATCAACTCTGATAAAGGTTTGTCAGCACTATTTGGAACAAGGGCTGCGAATGCCGGAGGTTCCAGTCCTACAGAATAGAAACACAGTAACTTTTAAGTGTAGAATATAAAGCACGGACGAGGCTAAGCGTTCCATGAAAAATTTCATAATCAAAGAAACTTGCAACTTAAAGTTCGACAATTGATACAGAATCTGAAACTTGCCCCATAAATTTTCAGTACAAGCACATAATTGATTCATTGAAGTACTTTTCCCTCAATAATAAAATTGAACATGTAATCTAATCTAAATGAGTTAATATTTCTTATGCAACTAAATGAAATGTAATGCTCTATAGTTTGTTATGCCTTCACCATTTACCATTGGACTTCTACCGAGTTTCAATCTATCTTCATTAGCATATTGTTTGAATCTCGAGAAAACATGGGATTAAAATTGATGTAAGAATGACAAAAGAGATGGCTTACGATTTAAATATTCATTTCCTTCCATTTTACACGACAAAGTTATAGAATTTGTTTCTATTTTAGCCGGAGAATAAGTACATGGAAACCTGTTTTCCGCTGATTTCCTTTCATTTTTCATTTTTCTCTTCGAAACACATGATCCAAACAGAACCTAAAACTTTAGGATATTTTGAACTTCAAAAGTCAGATATTTGATAGATTTTTTTCTCTACGCACATTCTAGAATTTTATGAAGTTTAAATATGTGCAAGTTCTTGCATGCTGTTCCAGTACCAACCAGGACTGGAACTGATGTGGACAAAAATATGACATTCGGTGAGATATAAAAAGCATAAATGCATTCATTACCACTTTCTGGAAAGCTATCAATAAACACCATCATCTCCTCTCCAGTAAGACCAGATAAGAAACAAATTCGAGGCAGTGATTTTGCAATCTGCAAAGGTAAAACGGTTTATTTTTACAACATTAGGTAAATCAGAGGCAATATATAATTTTTCTATGACAAGACCAGATACAAAGCATGTCTGCAGTTGGGATTATTCATTTTCTTAACGTGATAGATTGATTCGGTTCAAACAAATGATGATTTCTCTCCTCTTATATGCATTCCCACCCTCTAGAAAAGATGACATTAACAAATGTAGAAAATAAAATGACATTTCACTTACCATATTCATGGTATAAGTAGAAAATTCAGTCTTTAATCCGCAGGAAAAATTATCTTTTGGTGTATTGCAAGCCACGTGTGCATGCAGTAATGAACATCTAAAGCATCTCAAACTGCAATATGACATCAAGTCTAGTAGCCGCCTATAAATGTACTATTTTGGACTATTTCATTTTGACCATTGTCTTGGACTAGTGGCAAATGAGTCTGTTCGCCTTCGTATAATTCCAAAATAAGGTTCCATCATCATAATGCACATGTAGCTACTGTTCGAATATTTCATGAGAATCTATAAATTGGCTCTAATTGCAAAAGACCATAAGTTAATATGGTTAACTGATAAGCGTAGAACACGCTTGTGATGCAGAACTGGACCAGACTCGAAATATAATCAACGAGATTTTAGCCTATTTTCTTCTTTAAGGGCCTGTTTGAGCTCCCATTTTTTGTGTAGAATACATCTTGGAATAGTAGATTGACGGAGAATGTGTGGTTAAAAATGAAAGAAAAGTTTTTGGGTTGCGTGTAATATTATTTTATTGAAAAATTTGTCGTTGAAAATAAAAGAGAGAAAAATGTATTTTGAAAAAAATGGGGATCAAACAAGGGCTTAATCTTGTTTAGTGCCATTGAACTCTCCCTACCATGCATGCCAACGTAGAATTTCAGAATCTGATATTACCTATACAACAATAATAAAGCACAAAAGTCGATCGTAAAGTAAGAAGACTTAAATTCCGGTTCCAAAGTTCATGTAATGTAATGTAAAGTTACTTCCTTTCAGACAGAGTTCCTATGGATGAATAAAGGGCATTTGCAAGATAGTTAAGAAATCTAACCTTAACAGCTTCCAACTTGGGCTGTTTAGTATTAACTGCTTCCCAGAGTGAACGGCTAATCATGTCTTCAGTACAAAAAATAACCTGCAACGTAATTTTAAGTCACGTCTTTCTTGAAGCAGAAGGTTATGGTTATTAAAAATGTGTAAATCTTGGGAAAAAAAAATAGTAATGACAGAAATTAGATCATCTTGAAAACTATCTGATAGATGAAACCCTGACCTCCAGTTCCAAATATCGGCTTTAGTTTTATATAAATCATAACTTCTACTGATCGTTCTAAACAAAATACATGGAAACTAAAAATATACTAAAAATGCAAAATGGGTCAATTAGATAGAATGAATAAAAGTTTGTATTTTTAGAACTGAGTTGAAAAATTTTCAGTCTATTTTTATCAGCTAGATTATTTCCATTTTACCAAATACACCACTGGTAGAAGAGCAGAAAGCTACAACAGAATTTACCTCAAGAAATTCACCATCCATTTCTTTCAGAAGCTGTTGTATCTGACAGAAAGATAAACAGAAGGATTAGATTAGGTAATTCTGGAATCATCTTTTCAAGCGATGTGAAACAGTGACTAGATACTACAGCACTGGTTTGCATTCAAGAAGCTGGAAAATGATGACAGTGTTTGGCAGAAATGAGAATATGAAGAGAATTTTCCACCATCAAATCTTGACTTTCAAGCAAATTATACATTTACTTGTAGAACAGATAGCCTCTGGAGTGACCCGAACAGAGTGAAACGACAGCATGTGTGTGAACAATGAATTACATACAGATAAAACCACTCACTAGAGGAGCTTTAGAGAACAGAATGCCACTTAAGGAATATCTGAACTGGACTGCTATTCCTTCTTAAGGAATAGAGTAAGGGATGTACAGGAAACGAGAGGATAATGCACTCTAGTAAGAGCATAGCCGCAGCTTTCAGATGCAGAAATGGTCAAACAATCTCATGTATGATATGACTTACTCAATGCCAAGCAATACTAGTTTATTATCGAGCTAGAACTAAGTATGCAAGCAACAAAACAGGTTTTATTTACTGCTTAGAATGATGCAATTAGCCGAATAGAAAATAAAAGAAAACAACACAAATGACAAAAGTATAACAGAAATATAGCTGTCAGATAAATTACCTTTACAGCCTCTTCCACCTTAAAACCCAGCAATAATAAAGCCTGCAAAGTGCAGAAAAATGGACAAATTATTTTCATCTGTTAGAACTTGAAATTTGCTGGGTTAATTTCTGATTTTGTTCAAGTTCTAGAAAAAAATTCTGAAATTGACATTATCTCATGTATTTCTGACTTCATACTTAGTGAGGTAAAATATTATGCATTGCAAAGAAGATCCAATGTGTCTCAACAGGATCTAGAGTCCTGTTTCCAAAAATTATCTGGACTAGCCATTTCACTGGACGGCTATAGAAACATCTGAAACCGAAACAATAGCAATTTTGGAACTATCACGTCGCATAATTAAAATAAAAAATCAAGTGAGACGTCTCAGGGTCTGCGTTTTACACTTCACTTTTATTTGGCTTGCCTACAGGCTGGTAAATCTGTTTCATTGAAAATATTCTCACATTTTTTAATCAAAATTGTCTCATGTCGAACAACATATATATTCATGACGGTACAGAACTAACCAGAACTTACAGGTGGACCATAGCTTGGATCCTCAGATTCTAAGGGAACAAACTTGGAATCTTCAATCAACTCAACTGGAAGCTCTGTAGCACAACACCAGAAAAATATTTCAGAATCATATCACTTAGCAAAGTCATTGACAAGAAAGCTTAAAGTATAATAGGACTCAAGATTTATTGGTCTTGAGTCTTGACTCCTCATATCCAGCAATAGTAAACAATTGACACATTCAAAGGTATATGCATGGTGCATAGGTATCAGTAACCTGCAAAACATATTTGGTATTTGTTTACGATATTACACCGAGACAAACTTATACGAGTCACTGGATAAAATCACTTTAAGAAATGAGATGTGACCTGTAAAAAGTGTTAAGAGATACATTTAAAGGCTGCTTATAAGTTGCTTAGGGCCAGTATCTAGTGCTTTAAGTTTTGCATAAAAAGCTACTACCCAAGGAATTTTACTTCTATTTTTTTCCATTTGTCGTCGTTTTTATGCTAAGTTCCTAACATGAATAACACGAGAATGAAAAATCTAGGAACCATATACACTAATTAAAACACAATCAATTATATAAGAATGATAACACAGTAAGTAAAAAGTCTTATGGTGCTAACCAAACACTTGACTTAAACGGTAAGTGATTTAATTGGTCTATGATTATATGAATGTCATGATCTTAGTTGCATCTCATGTCACCAAAATTTATTAAGAAGGATATTGCTACATGTACATCAGGATTTAATTACATAATGCTACGTGACACTTTATCATTTGACAGTTTAAAACATAATCAACTTTTTCATCCAATCTTTTCCCACTATATTATTTTATGTAATCCATTATGTACATTTTTTTATGTACAATAAGCAAAATCCATTTAAGAATATCTGGCGGTGGCTGACACTTCCCCACAAGAGGAATTTACGAGAAGAGTGCCCAGTGTACTTGTGAGTGCACAAAGTGGATGATATGGGACTAAAAAAAATAGATGCTATTCATTCGACTTTACTCAAAATTTCAGCTATTAGGAAAAAAAAAAAAAAAGGAGTGCAATACAAGCATATTCATTGCAACCCATCAAGTAGTCTCTTTTACCCAACATGGATTAATGATTATCATGATGACAAGGCAGCAATTGAAATCAATGAAGCAGGGGTATTGTACTAAGCACTTTAATAGTTTTCTCTTCTAGGTTGGCCAGACAGAAATGAATGAAATTAAAAATCAAGAAATTACAACTGGTGGAATGTAAATAAATACGGAATAACATCAGAAAAAGAGAATTGAGAAAAAGACCTTCAGAAGATGCTCTTGGAAGGCTCAGCTTCAAAGAAGAAACACTTTTGGGTGATGAACAAGTTGAAAGATTTGGAAACACGGAAGAAGAAGATGTTGTTGGCAGGATTGAAGGTTTAAATGGAAATTGGAAGAGGAAACTGTGGGTGCTGAATAGTGAAGAAGCCATAGCCACACAACCAGTTAACACTCTTGTTTATCCCGGCACATTCCACGTTGCCGTTTTATGGGTAACGGGTGTCATCTCAACGGCGCTATCCCTCATATTCTATTCTCAAAAAATTCATTTTAAAAACATTTTAAGGACGAGTATAAGTGAGTAATTTAATTTTACCTTATTTCATATTTCATCGACATATTATGCCCATGTTTTGGTCCTGATTTTAATCCAAATCAAAGTCAAACAATCAATAACAACCATATATTTTATACGTCCCACAACTTTCTAACCACACATTTCAAATTTTTTTATCACAATCTACTAAAAATCTAATTTTAATCCTCACAAAACACCATCTATATAACATCATTTAAACTCCATCATCAAGGGTGCTGATAACATTATTCTACTTTCTAAACATATATGTTAGGTTTTCAGTGTTGACAATTATGTAGACAAAAGGACTAATTTGTAATGTGTTATAAAAATTAAGGACATGGGGTGCAATTTGTATAAATTGAGTTATGAGGTCTAGGGTTCAAGCATTAAAAAAAGAAGAAACACAGCGTCGCAATTTTGCTAGCTTCTCGTCCAGTTGGCACTCGAATGATAAAAACAAAATGTCTGTCGTCGAGCCCTCGCTCGAGCGATAGTGCATCGCCCGCTTGTCTATGAGCCCTAGCTCAAGTGACAAATTGATTCAGAACACCCTCTTTTGTTGTTTTGAAGTATTTTTTTCGGGTCCATTCAACCTAATTATCCTCTCCTATAAATACACAAGCATATGTACGAAAATTGGTGTGATTGTTCATTCTTATTCTCTAAACACGTTCAGAATATTCTTTGAAGATCCAAGAGCCTATTCATATATTAATTACATATTTTCTTTTTGGGATCACACAATCACATATTTGGGAAAAACATCAAACACATTGAATTCGAAACACCACCTAATTCCTATTGGTCATAAGAAGGTACTCTCTCAGTTGGATTTCAGAAGTTTTTGAAAGTTGAGAGATGTTAGATTACAAACGTAGGAAAAGTACAAGGCCTTGAAGCAAGTTCTTGGAATTCCGCCAAGAAGAGACAATTGCAAAAGATCTTGGAGCAGGTCTTGGAACAGACATTGGAGTTAACATGACAGGAAGTCTAGTAGAGTTGGCTAGATAGCATATAAGTGTAACTCACTCTGTATTGTCTATAGTAGAGGTTTGGTTTGGTCTCGGAGTTTTTACCCAGTTGAATTTCTCTGTCATCAATATCGTGTTATTTACTGCTTTCCTTATTACTGCAGTAATTCGATATAGGATAATTGGACTTGTATGCTTAATCATTTAGAAACAATTAAAAGTGACTTGTTGCTTTTGATTGATTGATTCCGCACGTAAGTCAAAACTAAAAACGGATAAGTAACAACCATTCAATAACTTAAAAGCCATTAAATTGTTAATTTGTAAACTGTTAAGTGGTATCCAGTGCGACACCTGATTTTTCATGATATTTTCAACCTAATCAATTGAGAATAACTCTTACAAAAATTTACTCAAATGGCTAAGTCCCCCAAAATGGCATTTCTATCTTATAATACGAAAAGCGAAAAAGTTGATCAAACAAAAACCGTCTCTTCGTGGTCCTAGTCATAGTGATCAGTGGTGTCTCCTTCATCGAACTATCTCGTTGTTGTCCATATCCACATCTATTGAGGAAGGTACGTTTAGGGTTTCGTGGCTAATATCTCGACAATGTTCATTGCATTACGTTTTCAATATGTTGTGGATATTATTGCAGCGATATGGGTTGAGAGGATGTAAAACTTTTTGCTTTTTGCTTAACGTAAATGTTCGATTCATACAACTTGTGTTGTGTCACGAAGCAGTAAAAGTTGCTACAGCTAACGATGAACAAACACCAACTTAGTAAAGAAAAATTAAATTACACACTTGATGTCGATGCTTATTTTTTGTGTTGATCCGATTATTAGTACAATTGACGAGTTTGAACGTGGACAGTAAATTTAATAAGAATTGTTATCTCGTAGTAAGGGTAAAAGTCATCATCATCAGAGTGTATGCATGAAGCCACTTGGAAATGATCGGTTGAAGGTAATAATGCACTTCGCGTCATCGAATGCTAATCTTATTCGTAGAATCCTAGTCTTGGGAGAACATATTCCTTAAATTTGAGTAACCTTGTAATTTGACGTGATCTCAATAGTTTAAAAGTAAAATCCTTAAATTTGGTCAGCAATATCTCTAGATCTCGAAATTATGAAAATATGTGTATAATATTTCTGTTTGAATATGATAAGTGTAGTTTCTACATTTATTTTGGGTCTTAAATGACAATTTTTTGTTATTTTTTGAACTGATTAGCGCCTAATTTGTTATTTATTGCTTTTATTAGGAAACATTTATGTTTAGACGAAGAGTTGGAAGAAAGAATGAAAAATGGCTTAAATGAAGAAAACTCGAAGTTCGGGAATTAAAATGCAAATACTCAAAAGTTGTGTCAGACCTCACGTTGAAGATTCGAGTGTATAGGTGTCATTTGGATAAAAAAAAGAAGTCAAATGGATGAAATATAATCAAAGTATTATCAAACATCAATTTCTAGTAGAAAGTTATGATTTGAATTTTCTACCTCAGATTGAAACTCATTTTTGGCATAAAAAACACTCGAATTGGAAAATTATATCTAAACGAGAATTGTACCCCTTTGAGTTAGATTTTTAACTCACTTTGAATCGTCTCAATCAGATATCAGGAAAGAAAATTATGACAAAAATACTAAATACTGTTCGGGGCAAGTCAAGGCGCACGCGCCTTCTTCTCTGAAATGCCTAAGGCTGCCTAAAGGATTCAAGCACGCGCCCTAGTTTGTACTAGGCGTGTGCTTCAGTATAAAACAGGAAAAAAAATGATTTTTCTTATTTTTGTTTTGATAACAATTCAATGTAATCATTTCGACATCTTTTAAATACCAAAACTAGATCAAAATGTAGGAGACCTCCACCTAAAAATTCATAGATTCTACATATTTTGGAGGTGAAGAACGAGGCTACATCATCAACATCAAGGGAATTGTGCAATATTTTTGAAGATTATCCATCCAAAATCAATATTTCATTCACTTTCTTCCATATTTCTTTGATTCGGGTGATATTTTTCTGTAAATTCTCGTATAATTTAATTATTAGGATGATTAGCTAAGTTTGTCTAATGTATTGGATGATTGAGGAACCCTATTTTTGTTTATTTCAATTGAAGACGATTAATTTAAGTATTTCTTGATAGGTTTTGCATTCTCATTACACTATTTGAATATTTGGTCATCAATTGAATAGTCAATTACTTGTTGTAGTATTAGAATATTCATAATAAGTTTAGAATGTGGTAAAATCAACACATGAACAATGAGTATTAGGAAAATAATATCTATGTCATGTACAAATATATAAATAGCTTAAACTAAATGCATGATTTTCATATGAATTNAAATAGCTTAAACTAAATGCATGATTTTCATATGAATTCGGATTAGGAATATGATCGGGTCGTGTTAATAATAGGTTGGTGTATTTTGGAAAAGATCATTTAATATATTAGTATTATCGATTGTCAAAAATACATGAAATTAACTAAATTATTAATTGATAATTGAAATAGATGGAAATAGGGAGAAACATGAATATAATACAAGCTTTCACATTCGATAAAATCACAATTTATTTGCTTTTTTTTTTACTATAGATTAGTAGTATAAATAACAACAAAATCACTCTTTTGCTGTCACTACTCATTCAAATTCCATACTAACTATTGAACTATATTTTAAACATTATTCCTCGTGGGAACGATAAACTCGAATCACATTTCTATTACTTGTACAACGATTACGCACGCTTGCGAGTTTCAACGTAACAGAATACATAGAAAAATATATTTTGGAAGTGTTTTGTTAGTATTTGATTTGTGGCTATATTTCTCTTTCTTTGTATATTTAACTTCATTTTTTCGAGTTTTGAATGTGTATTCATCTCTAGAATTACCTTTATCGTTACTCATGTAGCGGTGGTTTGAGCATTCATGAGTTTGGACGTGGATACTTGTCGTCGAAAAATCAAATATATTTAGCAAAAGAGAACAAACCAAACAAACATATTAAAATCCAGCTTTCCAAATTCATGATACTGTAATATCTGTAATTAAAGTTCCAGCTGCCAAATTTTATGAAAATGAGAGATGTCTTCATAACAATACGCATATGTATAAATCTCAATCTTTTTTCAGTAATCGATTATCGAGCTCAACACAATGTTCTAAGGAAATTATGTCCTCTAATAGTGAACTCTTGCTACACATTCGATCAACACTATTACACAATCTCGAACAATGAAAGCGTAAGACAAAGAAGATTATAGTTGGAAGGTAAAACGCTTTTTGTGGCGCGTAAAGGATAGATATATTTTGCATGTTGATATACATTGAAAATCTCAACCGCACGATAGTGTCCCGTTGGAAAAAATGGATGATTTGTGTATAGATTTCAATTAACATAATTAATTAAATAATATAAACATAACANACGTTGAAATAAGGACGAAAATGCAAAAAAATGAAACGTATGGACGTTTTCCACAAGAAGTGTCAAACGTATGTACGTTTTGTGCTATTAGCCAAAAATGAATATTTATTGAGTTGCCAAATATATAAGAATAGTATGAAAAATAGAGGGAGTATTTTTTGTTATATTCTAGTTTTCTTCGCAAGTTCTATATTTCATATTATGAAAATTAATCCATTTAATAGGGAAAAAAATACCCCCACAATAATGAAAATTTAATCAATTTAAAATGTAAGTTACTCAAAATTATTAGTTTTAATTTTATGTTAAAACTGAAATAAAGACAAAAGAAAACTGAAAATTAAAACTAATCCTTTATTTTGAAAAATTAAAACTTTTATAAGTTACGACATGTCCTACCTCCATCGCATATGCTATCACGAATTTAACTCCTTCAAATAGGTAATGGTTGTCAAGAATTGTTGGGATTAAACAAAATTGATCTCGACGTCGACGTTACATAAAATATACATCCCACTCTCGTAGTGATCAATCATTCTTTTCTCCAACTTTAATTAATTTAGACAACGAGAAAGTGTGACGTCTCGAGGTAACTTTCAAATTTTTTATATTATTGACAAGTTTCATAATGTAGATCGGACATAATTGAACAGAATTTGGTGTTATCTAATGTTAAGTTCATGTTTGATCCTCATTTTTCAAAATTTATTTTCGATTGTATATTTTATGAAATTCGTAATTTTTATCAACTTTTAATAACACATTTTGTCAAAATCTATTAAAATTTACTATAAATCTGACTTTTAATTAAACTAAACAAGGGTTAAATATCAAAATTGTTCTTGAAGCTAACAAACTTTCCTCCCGTCCAAAAAATGTACAAAAAATAATAATAAAAAAAAAATAAATAAAAATAAGTGTCCCGGGGCACATCCAAGATGGTAAAGACAGTGCAAGGCTGGGCTTGCAACCCCAGTGTGGGGAGTTCGAATTACGGACAGAGCAACCCAGTGTTGTAATACCCAAACCATGTGGTGGAGCAGCTTGATGATGTAAATTCGGCGCAGGAGGGCTCCCTTGGGGCCAGGAGTATAAAGTTTGCATGGACACTGGCTTGATTGGGCATAACCCGCGATTTAACTCCTCCCAGAGTTGAGGCACCGGTTTTGGGTGGTCCAGTATATAGTCTGGTGTAAGTTAGGAAACTTGGGTATTAAAAAAAAAAAAAATACACAATAATGAAATGGCATTGTACTAAAATTTAAATAATATATATATATTTTTTCCTCTCTCTCTCTCTCTAACTTCCAAACTACTGTAATAATTATTTACAGGTTGTACCTTTTATCTAAAGAGTTGTACTCTATGTTCAAGAAGCAAAATATTGACGGCTAGATTTGAAAGAGACGAGACTGTGTATGGAATCAAAAGCTTAAAGATTACGCTTTTGTCTTTATCTGTCTTTCGTTGATATTGTGATGCATAAGTAAGCTCGTCTGAGCAAGGAGACAGGATAATACCCAGCCCAACTCACCCTACCCTACCACATTTTACATGCGTACAGATATTTTTTAATAAGTTTAAAACATGTAATGGAAAAGGAAAAATCATAAGGAGACTCAAGTCAGCTGGATAAAATCTCTGTAATCTGTAAGTACTGATTTGAACAATCCCCTTTTTATTTTTTGAATTATTATGCGGGTTTACATGATTATGTATTTGTATCTTGAATTGATGAGGAATGAGCTAAAGATTGCTTTTTCAGATTCACTGGGTGCTTGTTAAATTAAGATTTGATTTGATTTGATAAAATTTCTTGTTGCGAATGGGTTTTCTGTCTTTGGAAACAATATATTTAAGAAGAAATTGGGAACTTTTGGGTTGCATTTTTCCTTATCTGATTTGGTTTAGGAATGAAATCAATGTTTTTGTGAAATTTATTTAAGAAACTTATTTACATAACAAATTTATGCAAGAAGATGGTATGCTCTCAATTTGCATATTTGAGTAAAGGTAAAGTCCAGAGGGTAATTTAACTTTTGGCAATCTGCATTAGACTCTTAATATTAGAATTGCAATTTTCATGTTTAAATTGGATTTTTTTTTCGAACTCTCAATTCAAAGGCCCGGATTCCGCATCCTTAAAAATTCAACAGAAATCTGATCTTCTTTTGGAAGCTGGAAAAGGTCTGATGAATACTATTGCTAGACAAACGGAAATATCCGTATACTAACTATTGCTTCTTTCTGAATTGGCTTTGCAGTGTTTGTTTTATGTGCAAATAAGCTCATCGCTGGATGCACGATCTATGTTCAAGTAAGCTATCATTAGAACTCTGTATTTCCTTGAAGCATTTAGTGTTTTTTTCTCCCATTCGATTTTGAAGCAAGGTCTTATTATTTGGGAATGTGGTCGTTTAATATTCCATTGATGCATCCCTTATAGATAAGAAACAAAAAGTCTAATGTTGCTCTCAATTGATCGCCAGTTCTTTATGTGTAAATTAGTTCTTTTTCCTTTTTTGTCTATTTCTAGGTATACAATATGTGGAAACAGAGGTCTTTTCAATTATGAATTTTGTTGTATGTAGATATTTTAGAAGAAAAGGATTTCCGTTGGATTTAGAGATAGAAAACTAGCTGCATTTTTAAACTATAATCCTTGGAGGGGATTTTGGTAAAATGGAAATATTGTTTATGGACTAGGACTACATCAAGTACTGAACAGGGAAGATTTAAAACTTAAATTTCACCTGTCCTGTTAAAAGAACAGTAAGAGGTCAAATTGAATATCAGTTCTGTATAGACAACTAGTTAAATAGCAGTAATTTAGTTCTCCATTCTTTTTGTTGCGAATCTGAGAAGCTACACTGATTGACACCCAAAAGGCTCCTTTTATCAACTTCCCCGAATAGTTCATTCGTATGAAATAAGCGGGATTTTGTGCAACTCTTCTGGCATACAGTAGCAGGACAAGAATCAGGATAAGAGGAACACGGATCATGACTGTTGGTGAACTAGTTAATAAATACTAAAAGTATTATAAAGAAAAGAAACGAGAATATACACCTACAAGTGGAGGCAGGCCTTGGTTAAGATTAAATAAAGGGAATGCCGACTTAGGTGACTAGGACAGGTTTTGCATAGACCTAAAAAGACTCGTGTTCTTAAGAGTGAGGCGATATTAAATACAGTAGGTTAGAAGAGGGAGAGGTAGACCAAAATTAATGTGGCCAGCTGTGGTTTCCTAAATATCTAGTTGCTTTAGATCTTAGCACTGAACTGAGTGTAGAAAATGGACTAATGTGGTCGATCCCAGATATATTGAGAACAAGGCTTAGTTTAAGTGGTTTGGGTTAGTTTGTAATGGAGTTGAGGTGAGCGAAATAGCAGGTCTTAGAACTTGGTTTTGATGATTTGATCCTCTGCACGTTCTAAATCATGTTAATGAGAACTTTTTCTGTACAATAAGTTGTTCAAGCTCTGCAAACCAAGCAATTGAGCTAGATACAGGTAAGTTCAAGTGGCTTGATTTCACTTGTGTATGTACTTGATTTGTAAGTGTACCAACCAAAGTTTACAAATGTCAATAGACTAATAAAAAGTCTGTTGAGTTGAGTTATTAACCGGCCTCAAGGGCTCTTAAATTAAATCTGCAGCGAGTTGAAGAAGTCGTCGTCGTTGTACAGATTTAGCTTACATGTTCTTTCCAAACAGCATTTGAACCATTTCTTGACAGCAAAATGCCAAATAAAGCACGAACTGTCAGGAGGGAATTAGGTTATACTTTTGGATAGCAAAATTATCCGCCATGTCGTACCCTATTAGGTTTCATTTATGGAACTCTTTTCGTGAACTAAGTTGTTCACGTCATCAGATTTTTGCTTGGCCTTTGTTGCTTCTTCACGAACATCATTTTCTGATAATTCACTCTCTTGCATGTTTCTTATCAAGCTGAATTAGTGTTTATTACTTTATAAATGGTACTCAAAACTTAGCAACTTCCCCCTTTTCTTTTATGTAACTTTAGCAACTTCAAGTTATCTATGTTTAAGAGTTGTGAAAAGGTGAAAAGAGTTTTTACTAATACTTTATCAATCCAATTTGTAGTGCTTTATAAGAATTTCCCTGAACTTTTATATTTGAAGAATGCTTTTCTTTTCTTGTACTTATCATAATTTCTGAGTGTGTTTTCCGCAAATTGACCAGTGATGAGGAACCAATTGCCTTCAAGAAGATGTACCAATTTTCTGAAGTCGATGGGTTTCTGCAGATAGCTGAAGAATCAGCAGATATGATAAAATTTGTGGCCAATGAGCCCTCTGTTGGACTTCATTACGTTCAACAGCATACCCAAAATGCAGTGCCCAACCTTGTTAATCTTAACAAAAATGTTTTTGAAAAATCCCACGAGACAACTTTGCATACAGAAGATTTGGAGGATTCTGTTACCATGGTTAGATCGATGAAAGAATATGGCTTCCCGATTGCTGATGAGATGAGTCGAGAGATTAAAAAATCTCTTGCAATCATGGCAAAAAGACAACCAAAGAAAGGATTGCTAAATAACTCAGGTTTTCGTATTGGAAGAACCAGTTCTTGGTCTCCAGCTACCTGGGGTCGTAATGCAGTTCATTCAAATCCAGGGGAGGAGAGGACGAGTGGTTATCTCTCAAGTGTTTTTCGGTCTGCAAAACAAAGAGCCGAAAATTTCAAATGGACTCAGGTCGAGTTGAAAGAATCAAGCCTTCCTGAGGGTGAGAAGCTCGTGTCCCGTGTTAGTCCCACACTCTTACTTGTAAAGGTAGTTGATGGCTTGTCCTCGTCAATGCCTGAGGCTGAGGCTGAGGCCGAGGCCGAATATTTGACATTGTCGAGTGAAGTTGATGAGCTCCAAGAAGAATCTCGACTTGACAAAAGTTCGTCCCATGAAGAATTCCTCTCATTATCCGAGACATATCACGAGTTAAAGGCAGATCAAGAAGCAAAACTCGAAGAGTGGTTGGGAGATAAGGGCAACAAGGATCTTCATTGACTTAAAAAAAAACTAAATGACTGAAGTTGGTGACCTGGTGAAGTCCATAATATACGTAACGTACCATAAGAAAGAAAGATGAAAGAAATGAATTTGTGTTTGATTATTGACACAATAACTATGTTTGAATCTTTGAAACCTAATTGCTTGTAATCTTAATGCTGTTAGTTTGTGGCATTGCCCTTATTGTTAACTCCTCATCTGTCTTTCTGTCCAATATTATGTCTGTATGCGATTTGCAAAATAAAACAGATTTGATTTCCTTAGTTATAGTGAAATATTAGCATTACAGTTTTACCATTCCTCATGCTCAATGAAAAAGGAATATATGCGAATTCAGTTCAAAGTTTGCATTTTTACAATTAAAAAATGACCAATTCAGGATTATTTCTTCTTGGTTTCATTGCTTAGAATTTTCAAAATAGTCCATACGTACAAGAAATTTTTGATAATATACAATTCATGACATATTTAAATAATTTAATTTACCCTATATACAATTCATTTTTATCAGTGTTTTAAAAAGCGTAAAGCGTGGCTAGGCGTGGAGGCCAAGCTTCAAGCTTTACGAGCCTAGGCGAAGCTTAGGCGTAAAAAAACGTTTTTTAATTTTAATTTTTTTAAAAATTTTTTAATCATTGTAAAAAAATTCAACAATTCAAATAATACATACCAAACATCTAAAATGATAAAATACTGCATTTACTATATAATTCCTTCATAAAGAAAAGTATCAAAATCATAATTACATAACGTAGAAAACATGTAATTTAAAACTTATCAAANCTCATCATCACATCCCTCTACAATCCATGATTGTGCATTAGTAGCATCATTTGCTAGTAAAGTCTCTATTTTGGCATTATGAGTTATATTTAAAAAGAGGGGAAAAATTGGCCTTTAAGGAGAAAGCGCGCCTAGGCGCGCTTTAAGCGGTCAACATTGACGTCGACCGCTTAATTACCGCTTAGCCTCAAAGCGAGGCGTTTTCATCCCGCTTCGCGCCTAGACGTCGCCTAGGCGCACTTTTTAGAACAGAGATTTTTATCACCTTGTACTGAATTTTGTGAAAATATATAATGTGATCATTTTTCTTTACTTATTACCAGAAATGTATCTACTTTCTTTTTTGTGTGGCCTTGCTCGTCAATGTACTCTAACCACACTCGGAAGTAAAATAAATTTTTGCATCATGTTTGAAACGAGAGGATGTATTGGACACTATAATTAGAAAATGTTGTACATAATTCTTCCTTTAGTCAAAAAGTGGTATCGATATTTACATAACACCTCCATAATCATTTGGTTTCTACTTCTCTTTCAAATGACACTTCTGGTCTATAGAACTACTTTCTCCCTCTACTGTACCAACTCTGAACCAAGAATATTTACAAGAAACACAAAGCAAAGATATCCATCACTTTCCTGGTTATTGGTATTTGAGGTATTTTTTGTTCGGCCATGTAGAGCATGAAGAAACGAAGATCCTCATTAATCGCAATCCATGGATTCACTCTCAATCCGACTTCAACATTGACACCGTGTTAGTAATTCAAATCCCTGTAAACAAAAAAAATTATAAAAATTCAAGGGAATTATTAATCTCATTCATTTTCCACCTTTGGATGTACCGTGTGTCCACAAGAGCATAAGAAAAACAGGCAGGTAGAACTCATACTTTGCACCACATAAGGAGTGCTCAAAAATAATTTTACCTATTATAGCATTTATCACACAGGGAAAGCAGGATCTAATAGCAAATAATAAAGGAGCAGATGCATCTCCAATATTTTTTAAGAACTTAAATGTATTTTAGTGCCATAACTTTCTGAGAGAACAAGAACTTAGTAACAAGTAAACTTAATTCAGAGTATTTACCAATAAATACAAGGGAACTGGGTTCACAATGCACAATTTCCCAAGACAGATCTGATAGCATTGTCAAATACAAAAAAAAATTGAGGATGAGGGAAGAGACATATTGGAGACGACAAATGAAGTCAGAGGGATAGATATACAGAGTTGATAATTAAGATGTTAACAATCTGCGGTCCAAACATAACAGGAAGATAATTGAATATTATACTCGTCTCCTAAAACTATGTCCATTCTTCATACTAGCAATCGACAGGGCGTTAGTCCTGTACACAAAAGTCACACTGCAATTCTTTAGTCATTGAAATAAGTGGCTAGAAGAAAATCAATCCACGAGCTCCGACAGTGGTAAGCTTTCAAAGTATATGATGCCAGAAGGTAATTACTAATATCATAACAGAAAAGAAAAGAAATAAAGATATAAAAGGAAAACCTTTTGGGCCTGATCAAATAATATGGAGAAAAGGACTTGTTGCTTTCTTTTCAAATCTTTACCAGCCAGAAATGCTCAGGGTAAATCTATATGTGAGTGGACTTCATTTAAATGGCTAAGCTAATACGACGTTGCAGAGCTATGTGCCCTATCATATGGAACACAAATATAAGAAAATATTTGAAAACTTTCGATATCATTAATTATGCTGGGTAACATTACCACGTTAGTTGCCGAAAACAGAACACTGAAAGCCTATTCATTTCACTTAATTTTCCTATTACCTAGGATCACTAGTTCAAGAGTGGACTAACTACTTACATGGTGGAATGCACCATTAGAGGAATTATAAACCCTCAACAAGATACTAGTGCAAATCTCAAATGGCATTAAACGAATGTCTTCCCTCTCTTAACAATAGCAAACTGTGTAGTAGGTGCAGAAACTAGTGCAAATCTCAAGAGTGGACTAACTACTTACATGGTGGAATGCACCATTAGAGGAATTATAAACCCTCAACAAGATACTAGTGCAAATCTCAAATGGCTTTAAACGAATGTCTTCCCTCTCTTAACAATAGCAAACTGTGCAGTAGGCGCAGATAAATTTGTAGACAATTGTTTAATAACGGACAGATTGAGAAAATTCAACAACTTGAAGGCCAAGAAAACGTTGACCTTATGGGTTTATGATCAGAGTGAAAGCTCATTAGAAATGTATAAAGTGAAACATATACAATGGGCGAATTAAAACATACCAGAAATAAACAAGCCAAGATATGACAATATCAGCTACTACAATTTATCTGTAAACTGCCAAATACCAGAGCTGTACTGGAAGGGGAAAGAAGTTCATTTATGATCTCCTCATAGATACTCTCTTCAGTAGAGATGCCATTATGGCTTTCTAAAATTTCCTCTGCACAATTTTGAGGGTTAGAATTAGAGAGAGATGAATTTGGAGGCACCAGGTCGCTATTACTTTTTAATGATGTTGTCCCAATACTTGAACTTGGCATAGAAATAGAACCATTACTCATGACAAAAAGCTCAGGTTTAGAGCCACCAATAATGGCTACCAACTCACCTATATTTATATCTGCAAGACAAAAACTGTTAATGCTACTTAATGCTCTTGTGCCAATATCATAACTTGGAGTCAAATCAGTACTATGCTCAAGATTTTGATGGCTACTTAAACGCACTTGTGCCAATGTTTGAACATGGAATCGAACCAACTGTTGTGGACAAGATTCTGAGCTCTACTGAATACTCTTGTGCCAATAATTGAACTTGGAGTTGAAGCACTGCTATAGCAAAGATGCAGAGGCTACTTGATGATCTTGTGCCAATACTTTTACTTGGAGGAGAACCACTACTATGGTCAGGATTCTGAAGGCTGCATAGTGCTCTTGTGCCAATATTTGGACTTGGAGTTGAACCTCTACTATGGTCAATACTCTGAAGGCTACTTAATGCTCTTGTGCCAATATTTGAACTTGGAGTCAAACCACAACTATGGCCAAGATTCTCAGGGCTTTAACTAATAATATTTCTCATCAACATCGTACCTACATCTGAATTTGGAGGAACCTGACATTGCTGCTAAATGCCCTTGCTCCAAAATTTGTACTTGAAGGAGGCCTCAAGCCATAATGATGGTCCAAATTCTGAGGGATTGGACCGCTGATATCATCCACTAACATAGCACCAAAATTTGAATGTGCAGGAGCCAATTACTATTACTGCTTAATGATCTTACCCCAACGTCTGATCTTGGATGAGACAAAGGCAAATCCTTACTGTTGCCCACTTCTTCTATAGGTTCCACACCAAGATTTAATCGAGTAGAACTAATGTGACCAACGACTTTAATGCCAACTTTTGCATTTGGAAGGGAAGATCTATTCTTGTTACCCATAATTTTAGCCTTTCTGAATACAAGTTGAGAAGATAATACGTGAGAGAGAGAAAAGTCAAAAGCAGTAAAAACTAGAAAATAAATGAAGATTTCTGCTCATACCGAATCAGCTTCTGTTTCGTAGAAGCTGCTTTTGATTTTGATGTACCTTCAAAGAGAAAAGGACAAATTGTAAGCTCCAGTTTTATTTCAGCCACATCTTGGCATAAGAAAAGTCAATGGTCCATATATATAGAACAACAGCTACTCAATGCATGCACAATCGACATCTACATGGATGCAGACTTTAAGCTTGTAACTCTTTTTTCCCTTACTCCTCTGATATTGTTCGTCAATGTTTTGATTCAGTTTCAAAATTATTGGGCTTTTTGCAAGATGTAAATATCATGCGCAGTTAAGGCTGCATTACATTATGGTCTCCATCACTATGGTTCCATGTTAGAATAACACCACATTGACTCATGTTTCTTTTCATTTGACCATGCAAGTAATTCAAGACATCTTCCGTCGCTTTTGTTTTACGTTTTAGGCTTTTAGATACAGACGAATTCCTTTGATTTTTGTTAAACAAATAAAGTTAGACTAAATAGGAAATAACAAAAATAAAGCAAATATTTAAATGCTGTCTTTGTAGGAAAGTTGATTTCATGTTTTAATTGTTAACCATTACCTCCACCTACCGATTAGAACTGTCATTTTTCCTTTTCTAAGTGCTAGGAGCAATTTTCCTTTTTAAATATAGCTTGTCAATGAATTAAATGTAGAAAGATAGCATCAGATATTAATTCTGAGTACTGAAACATTTTCCGCATTCTTTACATGTTTAAATATACAAATCTCCAAATCCATTTTCCTCTCTGCCTCTATAAAAAAAAAAGAAAAAGAAAAAGAAAAAAAAAGTGTGGTGCACCTTTCTTCTATCATATATTCCTTTGATTCTGTTAGCACAGAAAATTATCGATTTAGAAGTATCGACCAGAAATAGTATTGCTTTTTAAGAAGCTATGAGCATGATATTTATTATGTTAAGTTGAATTCTTCAATATTTCTTAGTTAATCAGTCAATGAGAAGTTATTATTAGTTTGTAGAAATTTGTACATACACGTTAAATTAATATTAATACAACTTTCCAATTAAAATTAATCAATGTTTAAAAATGGGCAATCAGGTACAAAAGCATTATTCCTTCGCGAGTCAAGGCGAAAGCCTCACTATAAACAAAAAACTGTACAAACATATTAAAATGCAAAACAAGAAATTTATATTCTAAGCAATCTTCAACATTCATAATGGAATAATTTATAATGTGTGCAAACAAACAAAACAAAACTCTATGAAGTAACCAAAAAAAACTAATAATTAGAGATGGCAATTTTCCCCACCCAGCCCCGCCCCATCCCCGTGGGGCCCCACCCCGAACGGGTTGGCGGGGCGGGGCAAGGTTCGCTGCCCCGTCGCGGGTCACGGGGCGGGGCGGAGATGCCCCGCCCCATGAAGAATTAAAAAAAAAAAATTT